TTTCAACAGGTCATGATCTGATTTAACTCTTTGGCGATGCATGGGAAGAAACCAGGTAAAATGGGGTTTGCCTCACATTTACAGAGAAACCCCGTCGTCACTGGTCTCAAGATCATGACGCATATTTTGACTTTCGATTTTGAAGAGATGTTGCGGGTCCCTTAACGTTGCCACGCGACTGCCTCAGGTGGATCGCAGTGAAATCTGTGACCTTTTCACATCGACATTAAAAGCGATACTTTATCGTGAGGATATGCCAGTATAACTTTCGACCTTTCTTTTTGCTTCCCATGGATTAGACATCAGTATTAGTATCATTCCTCGGAAAAACAGAAAAATGGAGATATAGTTAGGTTGACATTTCGGCAACATGCCTTCATCGGAGCAATAGCTGAAGTGGTTAGACTTATTCCTCGGTTTTTCAAAAGAATAGGGCTAATACTACTGTCTAATCCATGTGAATAATGTGCCTCGCTAATGCACCGAGCAGCTTACGTAATTTCTTGTTGCTTCCTTTGCTCTTGTTCCTTGCATCACGTCAGTGTGAAAGCGTTTTTCTGAAGGCTTGATTTCACGAGCTTAAATTTATATAAAAATGAGCTTGTTCCTAGCAGATTTCGAATTAGAATATTTAAGGGCTGTTGGTGACAAATATTAAGTATTGGAGTGAAAAGTAATTATGTAAACATGTTTGACATCTACATATGTATATATTGTCATTGTTAATGTATCTTGCTTTCATAAGACTGAGCAGACGAGGATTGTCGCACGGTCATATCATGGACACGCGGGCGTTTTATGTGTTTATGGTATCCAAGATCATTCCCCTCCCCACCGTTCACATTGCTAAGTACATCCATCTATTGAACATCCAAAGCAAATGAAGTGTCACAATGATATATTGCACATTGGTAGTTACGATGGATGGTTCATATCATCATACACCAAACACTTCCATGTCAGACGACACGAGTAGCTCTGGCAAAACGCTGGTGCCCAGCCATCCCTGTGCTCGAGGAAAAGTCGCAGAAAGCTGGGATAATCTTAGGAAACTCCAAGTTTTCCCAACCGATCTGGAAACAGCATTTGGGCTCTCGAAATTTCCTCCGTCAAGCCCCTGCCTTCGCCCATCGCTTTGGGAAACATCGCTGTTACATAAGTGACATAAGTGACATAAGTCATTGTTCAGTGCGTAATCGCCGTCAGCAGTTCGGGGAGCGCTCGGGACTCCCTGGCCGGCCGTTTGGGGAAATACTGGCAAATCCCGGTCGGGATCTTACATTTTTCGGTGCGTAGCCACGATCGGCGGCTCGAGGACATTCCGGACATCCCGCTTGGGGATGTGTTGGGAAATGGTCCGGAAGATGTTAGGAGTTGCAGCCCAGTGCCTCACATTCAAAGCTAATCTCAAGCATTCCCCAACCGCTAATTTGGGGAACGGTCGGGATATTTCCGCTGCGGTCGAAATGTATCTAAATTTATATAACGTATGGCCGAAATTTAATGCTGGTAGTGAGATGAGATGACACTGTTGACTGGCTGGTCGCTAAATTTCCCACCTACTACATGCGGTTTGGGCGGAGAATGCAGTGCCCTGTGTACCTTCTACTGTTCGCGCTATTCGCGCTAAAGTTCGGTGACTTCATAGCTGGCAGACGTGCAGGACGATCCATGGACAGATCCTGCACGCCCCAAACTGTGGCCGATTTAAAAGAGTGCTCCTGTAGGCGCTTGCCGTTACACCTGCCCCGACTTTGCTGACAAACAGGAAGCGAGTCTATGAGCACGAACAGACACGAACTTCTCGGAGAGAAAATCGACCGTGGTCTGGGCTGAACTTAGTTGGTCGTCACGCGGTCCAAGTAACTAGTTTAAAGGGAATGCTCCAAATTTGAAGATATTGAAGCCAGCACCAGATGTGATGAAATAAGATATAATATGAAATAAAATGTGATGACTATTGCCATGTGTTTAGGTGGAAGATTACTCTGGACAACACATTTTCTGTATTGAGTCTATTTAGTAACCATGTTTCTCACCGCATCATTGTTTGACTGTGTCATCGTACCTCGCACAACATTGACTGAGAGCCAATTGATGGCCGTTATATCTGAAACTCGTGCTCGCGAGCGCTAGATTTAAACAACATGGTAATACTATTTTTCTTGGCCTTAATCGGCGCGCGGCCAATGGAATGACAGAACTTGAACGACATTATTATGACGTCATGGATACCTGGGTGACCTTAGACTAGTCTCCTTGACATAGCCTCATATTCTCTCGGGCGTGCAGCTCAAAAACTAGAGGAGCAACCTTTCCTAACCGCATTTGATCCGTTTTTTTTTTTTTGCTGGGAAGGAGTAGTTAGGTACACGTCAAAGGTACCGCTCAAATTTCCCCCCAAGGCTTCCAATTCGTAGGATTTTGGAAACCAATTGATATTTGGGACATTCGATCAAATTTTGGTTCCACACCTTTGGGGTAATCCCTACGCCTTCTACGCCTTGATCAGACAATGCTGACAATGATCATTGTCTGACAGAGGCTGCAGAAGGGCCGGTCTTTACTCTGACAGCTCCAATTGAAAATGAGCAAGTTGGTTGGAATATCATCTTTTCTTACATTGACAATGCCCCAGCTCAGTGACGCTTTCACACATACGAAAGCATGCCAAATTATACTCCTTATGTCAGATGCGTGCCTGGGTCCTGAATGTGAATCAAGAATCAAAAGTTTCGATAAATTTGAGATCATGATATCTTGTTGGAGCTCCAGGCTCATGTCCGCCGTGTTTAGCTTATTTGATTTGTTTAGCACCGTCTGTCGAGCTAAGTTCAGTCGCCCATGGGAACCCTAGCGCCACAAGCGGCGATTTATTGCACTAGCGGTTGGTAGAGGGCGGCACATGCCGACGAGGAATTCTAATTCCTGACATGATTGTGGTGATAAACGCTATGCATCCTAAACAATGCTCAGAGAGCAGATGTGCTAACTTTCCATGACATCTCAAAATAGCCATACAGTGTTCCAATATTCGGCCATTTGGGTGGCAGGGATGTAGATATTTTTCATGCTATAACACACCGATTTTGGGCTCACTGCGCATGCCCCACCCCTTGCTCAAAATCGGCTAATCAGCATCAAACCGGGCGGCTGTCAAATCAGTATCTATGCGCCTCAGGCTTGACAACTGGGCTGAGTAGGTCAGTTGTCCGAGTCGGGGTCAAATGGCAACGAGTTGGTGCCAACGAATGGCGTGCGAGTACTGCCGAAGGGTCAGAATTTCGGCAGCACGAAACTATCTTACATCCGGTACACCCAGTATGAATTTTGGAACGCTGTAACCATATTCACTTGTTCCTTTCTAAGGCCAATGCAATGTAAAATATTGCGAAGTGAAGAGTTCTTGTCAGGTCATCCACTTTCCTCTATGGACGCCAGCATCACCCACGCAGCGCTCTGCCCACAAGCATAGTTCCCTTTTCAATCGGGGAATCTACCCCCTAATTTTTCAAAAACGCTGTACAAACCCGTTGAAAATCCCTCTGCCGGCGTATTTTTGGGACGCGCTTCCTAAATTTTCACTGCTCAGCCCGACCCGCGGAACTTGTTTTGCTAACTACGTCTCTGCCCCCTCGTGTCACATGTATGAAAAACATGGATATATGCATGAATACATGTTAAAAACGAGAGCTTGGAGCAAAATTGATGGAAGCCAGATAAACTTAATCAAACTGAGAACACGCGGTGATGTTTAATAGCATGTAGAGTTTCGCGTGCCCGCCACCCGCCAACCAGGGGTTTGAATGTTTTTTTCTAAGTTGTGCTCCATTCCGAGTCCCCGCGTACGCCCGTGCTCTCCGCCGACGACTGACGGAGGGGCGAGCTAAACCATGCCAACCCTTTGCCGTTAAAACGCGTCCAGGCTATGGCACGCCCAAGCAAAGCTGGCGTTCTGAAGATGCGTCGAGTCAGTAAACAAAACTACGTTCAAATCAAGGGGCTGCTGTAATTTGCAAGAGCCGTGCGTGATCAGTAACAATATAACTCCAGCCATAATCACCAGCAAAGAGCAGGAACACATGAGCTCGGTACAGCTCGCCCACACCCTGTGGAAATCACACAGTACAATATCACTCGACACAGCGTAGCCGTGTCCACCGTCCGCCGACCGAGGCCGCGCGCCAGCCCCTGGCGCCACCTGGGCCGACGAGGCCGATAGCGAACGGCGCGCTTGGTCCACTGGGAACAGAGCACCGGGCGGCGGCCGCCGGCCGCGGCCGTGGACACCACGATCGGCGCTCTGATCGGGTGTAGAGAGCAGCGAACACGGCAGGCTCTCCACACGCCCGGACGGGGCCGCGCGCACAGGCAAAACAGGGCACCCGCCCGGCCGGCCGCACCGGCACACTCGCCGGGTCATCTCGTCGCGTGCGATTATTTGTGCCAATCTCTACTGCTACGATCGTTGGCCCATTTCGTCCTCGATCTGACAGTGAGAAATCAGTCTCACGGGAGCATTGCTTTACATCTCATTCAAGTACTCGTAAAAAGCAAAAGCGATAGCTGGTGGGTGAAAGCTCCAACCGAGATCTCAGCGACGGGTGGCGTCGGAGACCATGAGTGCAGTCAAAGACCACAGAATATCTCACACATTCACAACACCGGTGCCCACAAGCTCACATCACGAAACAACACGATAAAGTCTCACGAAAACCCTGCCATCACATATTATGCGGACCGACGTAGCTGTCTGGATAGCGGAAGCCGCCGCCGTCGCCGCTGAGCATCACCGACCGACGGCACCTCCTCGCGAGGCTGCGGCGCGTCCGTCGGCCGGCGGCAGGCACTTCTGGTGCTGAGGCGGCTCCGACCGGCGCCTGCTGGCCGGGTGCCAGGACGGGCGCAGGGGCGGACCGCTGCCGCCTGGCAGCGGCCGCTCCGGTACACGGGCTCTACCGCAGCGGCGGCTGAGGCGCCGGGGCCACCGCCGCCGCCGCCGGCTCCAGCCCCAGCTCGACGGCAGGGGCGCCGTCGCCGCCTGACACAACGGGGACATTCAGTGAGACCACGGGGCTCCAGATAGGTGTGTGAAAGCTATTAGAAAAATATCAGAATGTAAAACTGCACCGGACGAGAAAAAAAGCTCTCCGTACTGACGGCAAAAGGGGCCGACAACATCGCAGGCATCGCTGGACGCCGAGCAAAAGGTAGTCAGCCCAAGAGACTGAATACTGGGCGTCCGTCCAGCCCCGGTCCGCAGTCAGCCCAAGAGACTGAACACTGGGCGGCCGTCCAGCCCCGGTCCGCAGTCAGCCCAAGAGACTGAATACTGGGCGTCCGTCCAGCTCCGGTCCGCGGTCAGCCCGAGAGACTGAACACTGGGCGTCCGTCCAGCTCCGGTCCGTGGTCAGCCCGAGAGACTGAACACTGGGCGTCCGTCCAGCCCTGGTCCGCAGTCAGCCCGAGGGACTCAACACTGGACGGCCGTCCAGCTCCGGTCCGCAGTCAGCCCGAGAGACGGAACACTGGACGTCCGTCCAGCCCCGGTCGACGGAACACTGGGCGGCCGTCCAGCTCCGGTCCGCGGTCAGCCCGAGAGACCGAACACTGGGCGGCCGTCCACCCCCGGTCCGCAGTCAGCCCGAGAGACTGAACACTGGACGGCCGTCCAGCCCTGGTCCGCGGTCAGCCCGAGAGACTGAACACTGGGCGTCCGTCCACCCCCGGTCCGCAGTCAGCCCGAGAGACTGAACACTGGACGGCCGTCCAGCCCTGGTCCGCGGTCAGCCCGAGAGACTGAACACTGGGCGTCCGTCCATCCCCAGTCTTCCGTTCACCAGCCACCCAGCGTACCATTGTCGGCCGGTCCGACCAGGTCCTCCGCCTTGCCGCTCTTGTTGGAGAGCTCCTGCAGGCCACGGATCAGCGCCACGTCCTTGGCCTGGCCCTGGTCCTCGGCCAGGTCGGGCCCCTCATCTGCGACACGGAAGGGCGGGGCGCGCATCAACACACCCGCCTCTGGTCCAACGACGCTGCGGGACAGGGAACGAGAACCACGACCGCTGCAGCGGTGAGAGCGTTCAATTTGCCTTTACTGAGTGTCACAAGCGGTTCTGAGCATTCTGAAGAGCCAGAGATCGTAAGGGAGGCCGTAATCCCCATCCATTCAAGTACTTCAGTGCAGCAGAGACCTTTGTCAAGCCCTTCTAGCATGGTTGGCTCTGACCTACCCTCCCAATTAGTAAAAAAACAAAACAACACATAACAAAAACGCGCAACTAACATTTTTCCCTAAATAGAGCCATTGGTATCATTTGATTCGTCCCGATCAGCCGCACGTTCTGACCAGGAGAAAAAAAAAATGCAAGCTTATGATTGTAACGGAATTTAGAGTGATACAAGTTCAGCACATTCGTGCGGACGTGAAAACTTCCAAAAGCAGAAACGAATGACTGATACGCATCGGTGGGAAAACCAGCCTCAATTTTCGCACGCCCTCTGCTTCCTGGGACAAAAAAGCGTAACCGCTTATGCGTGTTTTTGCCCACAATCGGCATCATTGCTATTAAAAGCGCATATATGTGAAGTGACGTTTTTATGTCATTGAGAACCAAGCACTTCATTTTGATCCTTTCAGTTCCGCCCCGCCTCGAGGTGACTCATTCTGACCCTCTCGCCCCACCCCTCTCGGGGTGACTCGTTCCGGCCCTCTCGCCCCACCCCTCTCGGGGTGACTCGTTCAGGCCCTCTCGCCCCACCCCTCTCGGGGTGACTCGTTCAGGCCCTCTCGCCCCGCCCCCTCTCGGGATGACTCGCTCTGACCCACTCAGCCCCGCCCTCTCTCGGGATGACTCGTTCTGACCCACTCAGCCCCGCCCTCTCTCGGGATGACTCGCTCTGACCGCCAACCCCGCCCCGTCTCCTAACGAATGGTCGTGCCTCGCTGCCCACCTTTGACCATCTCGTTGGGGTACTGCAGATTGACGTCGTCGTTGCCGGCGCCGTCTCCAGGCCGCTGCTCCTGCCGCAGCGGCTGCGCGCCGCCGGCCGGTTCTGGCGGCCGCAGCACTCCCAGACCCTCGGCCTCCTCGCCGGCCGGCCCCGCCTGCAAGGCAGCCGGGACGGCCGGGTCATCGTCAGCACCGAGCGGGCCGGCCCCCGGCCGCCGCCTGACGCACGCTCACGGCTGGCGGACGAGCCGGGTTGGACGAACTGGCCGTGACCCAGGGCGGTGCAGTCCGCCTTTGGGGGTGAACCGGTACAGGTTTGGTGGATGCAGGCAGGCTGATGCCCGCCCACAGACCGAGCCCTCTTGGGGTACGTAGCAAAGGGGAAACCGCATACGATGGCGCAGTCAATGGTGGACTCTATTTCTACCTCACCCGGAAGGTCACCGTTTCAGACAAGTTACCTTTTACAGCCTCTACTCGATTACTACTACAAAGAAAACTACTGATAAAGAATCAAAGGATCATCAGATATTAAAATAGCAATCACTCCCCGCATCGGACAACCTCTGCACGTCGTAACATGCACTGGAACATACTTAACAGTTTAGACAACTAATTACGCATACAATAGTTATCGTGCGACCATTACTTAGGCTTTGGCTGCCAGCATGCTTGCGGTTTGGCAGCGACGTTGCCGATGGCCTGGGCCCACGGCCCACATAACCTGAGCCGGAGGAGAGGACCAAAATGGCGACCGCTGTCCGGCCAGCCCGCCACACCGCCACTCATCTGGCCACAGCTCTGCCGCCCTCCCGACGGTCGGACGCACCTGGCCGGCCTGCGGCTTGGCCAGCTGTCCGGGCGCCGCCGGCCGCTGGCTGGAGCTGGAGCTGGAGCTGCGCTGGCCGGCCGGCGGCGCCGGCAGCACCCGCTGCTGCGGCGGCGGCAGGCCGGCGCGCGCTGCCGCCGCCGGCTGGAAGTCGCTGTCGAGACGTGCCTGGTCGAGCTGGCCGCGCGGCGCCACCAGGCCGGGCCAACGCCGCCGGTCGCCCTCCGCTGGCGGCGGACACGGGCCGCCGGTCACCGGGCGACGGGGGCGGCCGTCGCCGGCAGCGGGGGGACACGACAGGCGGCCGCACGACGCTCAGTTAGCGTGTGCCAGAGTAAGCCGCCCGCCATCGGCTAACGGAGGACACGGGACAGGCACGCGGACAGCCCACGACCCGCCGGCCGCAACCCTTGGAGTAGCATGGGCGACCGCATTGTGCCTCGTCAGATGAGGGCAACAACACTCGTAATCGGCTTCGGAGGCACGGCACGTACACCAAGCACGGCACGGCACGTGCCCCGTACGACCAAGCCTCCGCGTCCCCACACAAGCAGGTCAAACGCCGCTGGCTGAGCCCGTTCTGCACCCACGCGACGGTGTGCCGCGCACCAGCGCGGCCGACACACTGTCCTGTCCTGAAGTTGAGTGTGCGTGCTGGCCCATTCGGGAGTCCGGAGGCCAGCCCAGCACTCACCTGGCCGTGTCGAGCGGGTCGTCCCGGCCTGACACCGACCCAGCTCCGCCTGCGCCTGCCGGTCACACACGGCGGCGTCAGTCGGCGAGGCACGGACGCGCCGGGCGACACCGGCCCAGTACGCCGAACGCCGCGCCGGGGAGCGAGGGCTTCACTCTGGTGTGCACTCCGTTTGTCCGCCCGCACATCACTGAGAAACAAGCCGCCACAGCAGGGGGCACGCGGCCTCGAACACTTTTTCTATTTAGTGAGCAACGGAATTATACAGGGAAAGACACGTTTAGTATGCCGAAACAACTATTGCACCGTAATAGGGTATTCTCGTCAAAAGGAAACACGTGCTGCCAAGTCGATATGTGGATCCAAACATCCATATGCAGTAAGACAGATGGAGGCTGACTGCGGCCAACTGCACACGAATGGCCCGGACTGGCGTACAATGAGCTGCCTCTGCGAATGTTCCGCCAGGTCACCGAAGCACAGCCCATCGCGCAGCCGCTGGTCATGCTGCCATGGGACCAATGGTCCAGGACGGCCAGGGAGACTACATCCAGTCGACCATTTAGGGCTGTCGCCAGCTGCTGCGTGTCTCGCAGGTGACCGGTCCGAGCCCGGTGGACGAGGCGTGACCGGTGGGACCGACCGACCGGTCTCCGGCGGCCAGCTGACCGGGCGGCGTCTCACCTGCGCCAACCGCGCCTGGCAGTCCCGCTCGCCGGCGGCCGGCGGCGACGCCTGGCCCGCCTGCGCCAGCTGCTGGCGCGCGCTCTCCAGCTCGGCGCGCGTCCGGGTCAGCTCCGCCTGGCGGCCGTCCAGCTGCAGCCGGCCGCGCTCCTCGCGCTCCTTCAGCTGCGTCAGCTCGGCCTTCAGCGCCTGCAGCTTGGTGGCCGCGTCCCGCATCTGTCGGTCCTGTCCGAGCGCGGCCGGTCAGCCGCCGCACGCCCGCGGCCGCTGCACACGGGACAGCCCACATGTGGGCCACGCCAACGACAGGACGGTGATATGGAGATGGTCGATCTTGGCGTGGACGTTGGCAAAAGGCATCCGCAAATACGTAAATATAAAGACATGCGCAGAAGAAGCGGCGCACGTGAACCGCGGCAGAACAGGCCACTGTTAAACGTACATGAAACTTCAAGCGTAACAGGGACAAGAAATAACAGTACAGCACTTCAGATATGGCTATCAAACACTGTGATCACACCCACGCAGCAACGATCGCACGCATTACGAAATGGCGAAAACTGCAGGCTGAGTAACGCCACGCCACTGGACCAAACCTGGTCATCCTTGTCATCCTCCAACTGCTTCATCAGAGCCGATTTACTCTCCTCTGCTTCTGCTAGATTCTCCTTCAGCTGCTTGCATCGGATGTTGTCTTCTTCTTGATCCATCTGGACCTGCTGTAGCTCGGCATTGGCCTTCTTGAGATTTTCGCTGGCCTCACGCCTTTGATGGTCAATCTTTGAGGACTTATCTTCGCTGCAAATGAAATGAACCTTCTTTCACCACACAAAGTGGTGAAATCGTGTGCTCAAAGTGCTCAAAGTGGCTTGAGCACAGCAAAAATGTGACGGCCACCTGCGCCATGAAAAACTAAACATTGTGAATAAGCTGCGAAAATTGGGGATGTAACGCGTCTTTAAAAAAAAAACATACTAAGATTGTTTCGTAACTGTGCTCTCTGTGTGGATAAGTTTTTCCATTGAAATTTATTGCCATTTTTCATGCTGGACTTGGGATTTTAAACGTATGTTTCTCGCCACTTGCTCGCATTTTAACATATCCGCGAAGTCGTAACACTGTTCCGCCAAACCTTAAGCACCATCCAGTTTTTTGACACCATATTCTGCCAACATGTTACAAACAGCGGCAGAAACGATACTGCCTACAAATGGGCGTGCCAACTCGGGTGACAGGCAGACACGCCACCTCGGGTGACACGCAGACGCGCCAACTCGGGTGACAGGCAGACACGCCAACTCGGGTGACAGGCAGACACGCCACCTCGGGTGACAGGCAGACACGCCACCTCGGGTGACACGCAGACAGGCCACCTCGGGTGACAGGCAGACGCGCCACCTCGGGTGACATGCAGACACGCCACCTCGGGTGACAGGCAGACACGCCACCTCGGGTGACACGCAGACACGCCACCTCGGGTGACAGGCAGACGCGCCACCTCGGGTGACATGCAGACACGCCATCTCGGGTGACATGCAGACATGCCACCTCGGGTGACACGCAGACGCGCCACCTAGGGTGACACGCAGACACGCCACCTCGGGTGACACGCAGACGCGCCACCTCGGGCGACACGCAGACACGCCACCTCGGCTGACACGCAGACATGTCACCTCGGGTGACCACGCCACCTTGCCTTTCTTTAGGACTCCCAGTGAACGTGTCACTGGTGTCCTAAGGCGTCCCCCTAAGAACACTTATATGTTGCTCTACGTTGCATGCAGCCACCAATGCATCGGATAGTACTTTGGAGATGTGGGTGCACTGAGTGTTTTCTGCGCAGCCAAGTGCGCTTTTGCTTTGGCTAGGATTGCTAGTGGTCATACTGACTGTTCGCCCTGTCCTCCGTTCTTTCCCACACATTTCAGGTGATGCTGGTTTTGTTTATGCACGTGATTTGGTAAACACCACTCAAGTCGTGCCAGAACCTCTGGGCTACACCACATGACCAAAACAGGTGAGGTATGCTCTCTGGTGGCGAGGGGCAATACCGGCACCTGTCCTTAAGCCACATTCCGAAAAGCTGCAGACATTTTTTGTGGGACCGATGCAATATTCTAAATTACAGTCAACAAAAATCGATGTCTCCAGTTGCCGGTACAAACCCTGATAAATTGAAGACCAAGATATGTTGATCGGCAAAGTGAGCTCTATTTGTCACTTGCAGCTTTTCTGGAGGACTGGATTTCGCGCGGAATTTGCGACATATACAACATGCCAGGCCAACAGGTTAAGAGACACCCCACAGAAGTGCACCTTTCTTTGTGTCTTTTTTGTTGGCTTCCAGCGTCTTGGAGTCGGTTTCAATAACGTAAATGCCGTGAGGAAATACAACCATATCTAATTATTTTTCCTCTCTGTATGCAGCATGTTGCACTGCATATTAAAAATACTAGCAATATGCGCAGGGCCCTTTAAGATACATTGCCTGCATCAAAAGACACCAAAGGTTTCAGACTGAGATACCTATTCAGCCATAGGAGCTGGCAGAGAATTGGAATTGGGAGTTTGCTGACAACTGTTGCTGTATTGGCTCCTTAATGTTGGGCATTGATTTCTTATCTGTGCATTGCATATCATCTGTCAACACGCTTAGTGAAAGAACCCGGGCATCGGTCGACGGGGGCGGGGCACTCACGCCCTCTGCAATAGGCCCTCCAGCCGATCCAGCTCCACCGCCAGGTCGACGCTGGCAGAGCGTAAACGCCAGTAGTGGAGTCCAAAGGCGACCAGCGCCAGCACCAGCGTGATGGCCAGCGCCCGCTGCGGACCGCGCGAGGCCGCCATCAGCGAGCGCATGTCGCTCCGTCGCAGCCGCCGCCCTGCCGACAGCGGCACACGCCAGCGTTGATCTGGACGCTCCAAACGGGCTGTCAGACATTAGACAGTCACTGCCACCCCGTTAGTAGACACCAGACAGCCGCTGCCACCCTGTTAGCAGCGGCACACACTTGCCCTGGCCTGGACACTCCAAATGGGCTGTCAGACATCAGCCAGCCACAGCCCTGCACCATGGTGTACCACATGCTAGGAAATAGCCTGCTGCTCTCCAGCACCCAGCACAAACAATCAGCAGTCACAGAAGCCTGTCAGCAAGTTTTGCATAAGAGAGAATGACTGATGGTATGCAGGTGAGAGAATTGGAAAGGAGAAGGATACTGATGTTTTAACTGAACAAGGTCTGGCAATGCCAATTTTGAATTGTGAGGGCCAGCGTGATTGTGTTAAAACCTGGGGATGGGGTGGGAAACAGTTACTTGTTTTGTGCTATAAAAAAAACTGATAAAATGCATGCTCAGCACTTCTATAGGCAAAGGGTTGTTTGAAGGGCAACTTGATTAACCAAAATATGTGAATTGTATAAACTATGGAACAGAGGGATAATCATAGCTTCCCACATAAACTTTACAGCCCCCATCAATGCAAGAGAAGCCAGTAAAATCTGTCAGACTTGCTCCTAGCTTAGGGTATGGTCCAAGTCAAACTGCGTCTGACTCAGGGTGAATTCAGACTCAGACTTGCTCCTGACTCCTGGTGCAGCTGGTCAGCATGCAGTCAGACTCAGGGTGTTCCTAACTCATTATGTAGTCAGTCAGCCTAGAAATCAACCTCAAATCTCAGTTCGGCTTATAAAATTTCTTGCTCTTTTTGAGTAAGTCAGAGTTGGAGACTGGAGTTAATTAAAACATGATGTCATTTGATCCAGTGGTAAATATCAGTAATAATGTTGACCGGTGGTATCGCTCAAGTGGTAGTATCACTACTAGGAAGCCAAGTGTATGATATATAGCAAATTCCTGTCAGATTTACAAAAAAAATTTTGTGGTACTGATTTTCTATCATGCAATTGACCTTGTACTTAACAGGCTTATTGAACTTTAAATATTGTACATCAAGACAGTTGAAACATCTAACTTTCCTGTATCATTTGAAAGCTGAGTTTTTGCATCATTTAAACAAGTGTGAACAAAATATCAAATCACCCACAAGCATACAACTACACATACACAAGTACACAGGCCAAGTTAGCACTTGGACTAAGTGAGAGTTGGAAGTGCTTTTGACACCAACATTGTAAAGTTATGACCCCCACAAATACCAAAATGATGTTTTGGTGGTTTCACATGCACAATAATTACTCAATTCAGTTTATGCTTTAAAGACTTTGTGCTCATATGGGCAAGAGCTTGCAGGAGATGCACAAAGACTCATACATGATTGGGGAAGCTGTGAGACATTTTAAGCAATTTCTCCCCATGCACAACTGTAACCATAGTGCTGAAATTTCCGAGATGTTAGATGGGGGGGGATCGGTGGGGAAGGGATTCAAGCCCCTCCCCAATATTCGCAATATGTTAGCTCGCAATAGCTCTGCCCCTACCGCCTGCAAATGATGCAAAAAAGAAATGACAGTCGCTACAGAATACTTGTGATCATACCTATCAGGCTAGCGACTAAACTCAGCTATATACCTGGTGGGTGTCCCACCCGACCACTCTTCTCCTATCTCAGGGCTCAGAGCTTCTATGGTCTTTCCCCTATTTTTTTGCCGAAGAGTTGATCATGACAGATTAAACTCGGCACCAACACACAAATCTAGAGACCGTGAAACATTTGCAGTGCATTGAGCACCGACTAAGGGCGCGTTCGGTCAAAAGCTCATCCCAGGGTATCATATGGAATGTTGCAAATTTGGAACGGTAATATGTACTGTGCAATTCTCTTGAAAGTGTTCTTTGGTTTATCCGTCTATCTGGTAGCTGAGCAACATAGATCATGCACAATTTCACATAAAATCTATGCTGAACGAGCGTACACTTTTTGGCGATTCCTTTGAGACATTTATGGCCTGAAAGTTTCAACTACAGCCAGCATACTAATGCAGTACGAAATGCGGTGAAGACACGTCCTTCACCCATCAAGTATTTTGAGTGACGTTATGACATACCGCTGATTGCGGCGTCGTTTTACTGATAAAGTTTTCAAACCAACCACGCTAAAGAACATTGCTGAAAACTTTGCACCATTCTAGCGCATCCCAACTGTTAGACCCACTTCCCTCTGGATGGATTGTCATACTTTCCCCCATATGAAACAGCTTCACATACCATAAACCCCACGTATTATTACATGCTGCTGCAAACAGAAACATATCAACATTTGATAGGTACATTGAAGTGTACTACACAGCAGCTGCATGTAGGCAGTACACCTTGAATCACAACTGGAATTAAGTATTGTGCGCTTATGTTGAAGTGTTCCATGTACATACATACTCAATGTTCATTTGCGGTTTTTCAGCTTATTTTATGCAATGCATGCATTGCATATGGGATATCACCTTTTGGTAGGGTCAGCACCAATATATTGGTGCTGGTTGGACAGTTACCTCTGTGACTCAGATGTGATGTGACTGTTGCAACTTTCCCTCCATTCTATTTTTTCCTTAGAGAAATTTCTCTCCAGTTAGGAACACCATGCTAATTGCCTAATATTGAGAATCTTTCATCACTGACTAGTAACATTCATTGCTGGACTTGGTTGATGTGTGAAGCTGTTGACCATGGTGATATGTGAAACACTTGATGCCAAAATTTATGATAAAATGTCTATCATCTGGGTTGTAGTGTATCAATTGAAGTTTGTAGCTTTTAGCATTACATTTTGTTTAATGCACTGCATTGGTGCATTTTAGTTTATTGGGTTTGTCAGGCTGTTCCTCATAAGAAAGCATGATATTTACCTGTTGCAATGATTAGTGATAATGTCTACTCTGTAGTCAGTCTCACCTTTTACATCTTGAGAGATAATTTTCCATGGAGTATTTGCATCCTGTTTGTAGGAAGATTTATTTTGTTTTGATGATGCAGTTGGATAGTTGGTTGGTTGTCTCATCTTCTTCATTGTCAAAGTGCCTTGTGTGTGTGTGTATGGAAGGATGTATGCATGTATGTATGTGTGTGTTTATATGTATATGTGTATATCATGACCCTGGCAGAAGTCTCATGGGTATTTTCTGGTAATTGCAGGTTTAAGGATGGATATCCAGGTGGAGTTTTGTCCTCTTCTTGCCAGGGTTCAAGGATATCTCATTCAGCATCTAAATGAAGATAAAACATCATTCAGAACTGATTTGGGTAAGTAAAAAGCATGTGGGTTTCAGATATTTATCTGGCAGGACTTGTGGCATACTGCAATAGGTGGGACCTACATGTATGTGTTGATATTGTGCACATAAGTAAGTGCCAGTAGTAGTGATGTCATATCAATTTTGCTGCAAGAAGTTAAATGTAAGGTGGTTTGCAGCAGATCAAATGAAATCATACATTGCAAACATTGATATACACAATAACACTCCAACATTGTTTGACAGAAGACTCAGTGGACAAGTTCACAACCTACATGACACAATGCATAGCTGAGGAACATCCCAATGAGGCCTCCCTGCAAAGCCTTCACAACCTGCTGCTGGCCTCGTCGGGCATCGCACCGCTGAGCGCGACCAGCCAGCACGTGCAGTCGGCGCTAGCCAAGCTGGGCGGCGCGGCCGTGCCACCGGCGCTGTACCTGGCGGCACTGCCGGCCGGGCTGGAGGACAGCCTGCTGCAGCTGCTGCGCGACAGCGAGGAGCCGGCGGCCGGCGCGCTGTGCGCCACCATGGTGGCCGCCTGCTGCCAGGTCGCGCCGCCCCGCTGGCCCGCCGTGCCATGCGCTCTGCGCGCCTGTCTGCAGCTGGGCGCGCGCTGGCCGGCGCTGCTGCCGGCGGCGGCCGCCGACGCCGAGCGACTGCTGGCGCTGCTGGCGGCGGCGCCGGCCGTGCCCGACGGCCGGCACGCGCTGGCGTTAACCGCCTGCCTGCTGCTGCTGCTGCGGGACACCGCCGGCGGGCGGCCGGCCCACGCCGCCGCCGCCGCCGCCGCCACGGCCGCTGCCACGACCCTGTTCCGCGCTGTGACGCTCAGCGTGTGGCTGGAGTGGGCGGAGCCGGCGGCCGGCGCGGCGCCGGGCGACCCCAGCCTGCAGGCGGCGGTGGCCGATGCGCTGCTGGACGTGACCGACCTGGTGGAGGAGACGCGCCGCGAGGGCCGCGGCGCGCACCTGCCGCCCGACACGGACCGGCTGCTCGACACGTGCCGTCACTTCGCCGCCGAGCAGGAGCTCAGTCGCGAGCAGCGGCTGCGCGCCGTGTCCGAGCGCGGCAAGCGCAGCCGCAAGCACTTCGGCGCGCTGCTGGCCGAGTTCGACGCGGCGGACGCCGAGCTGGTGCAGTGTCTGGAGGCCAACGTCGAGTGGGTGTCGGTGGACGGCCTCTGGAGGCTGCTGGAGGCCGTTATGAAGTCGGCTGACGGACCGGCCGAGCTCCGCGATAGGACAATCAAGGTGCGTTTGCGTAGTGCGCTGCCCTGTTTTCTGTGGGTGCTGCGGTATGATTGGTGCCATGGTCCTATCCGTGGATTCATCACCGTATTTCAGCGAACACTGGACTGGGTACCGTTGCCTTTCAAGGCTTTTAGAGTGGCGACCGTGATGCGTCGTAAGAATTGCCCGCCATTGCACATGGATGGTCTTTTTGCAGTGTATTGCAGCATATTAGTCTCATTGTAACAAGTTTAGACAGCATCGCCTGTAATTTTGTGCTATACGAGTTGGCCATCTTCTGCGTGTATATTTGGTCAGAATCAGTGCACATGATACCTGGCATGAGTATATTGGAGACAGTGAGCTAGCATGCCGCAGCTAACATGTCCGCCGCATGGGCGTACCAGTTGCATCGTCCTCATCCTTTCGAGCACCATGGCCATTGTCCGTGTTGTCCCTTGCCTCTGTCGCCATTGCACCGCGCCTGCTGATGATGTGGCAGGTGCTGCTGGACTGCCTGCTCACGGAGCCGGCCTGCGAGGAGCGCCGCCGCCTGTTGGAGCACGTGCTGACGTCGGCGCCCGACCTCCGCACCACCACCTGGGAGCAGGAGCTGCGCACGGTGTCTGCACAGCTGGTGGGCGCGGCCGACGACTCGGTCAGCGAGGTCAGCCTGCCGACGGCTCACACGGGAACCGCGGGTGGTCGTTGTTGCAAGGCCACTGCATGCAATGACCTCCAGCTGCAACCGCCTTTGAATAGGCGTCACCTCCCCCGAATATGACGTCAGCTGGTGTGGCGACAGGAGCCTCCGAGTCGCCATCTCTGCCGTTCCGGTCGTTGTTCCGTTGCTATGGAGCTTGGCTGGCACAGTGCTGCCCAACGCCGTGAGCGGCGACGGGCGGCGCCTCTGACCGCCGTCTGTCGTTCTTTGCAGGCCTCGGTGCGGCAGCTGGCGGCGCTGCTGCTGCAGAGCGCCCGGCCGCTGCTGCACGCCCTGGTGCTGCAGGCGGCCGAGAGCAGCGGCAAGGCGGCCATGGTGACGGCTCTGTTGGCGCCGCTCGGCCGCCGGCTGCCGCTCCACCTGCTGCGCGCCGGCCCGGCTGGACTGCTGGGTACGCGGAGGACGCGCGGTACCGGGGCGGGAGCTGCCGGGCCTGAGCCCAGGAAGCTAGTCCCGCTCCTTGTCGGTCTGCTGCCGTGTTTGGGCCCGGGGAGCTGGTCTGTCTCCGTGACGGTCTGCTGCCGTGTCTGGGTCCGGGGAGCTGGTCTGTCTCCGTGACGGTCTGCTGCCGTGTCTTGAATCAAGGCCAGAAAGCGCCCGATGTATTTAATTAGCTGGTCGGCACATCGGCAATTAGCTAATCGGCTGACCGCCTCCGTGACTGGAGAGTAATTTTGTGGTGTGTGAGTTCCCCTGATACTCTGCCTCGCGTGGGCGCTGGCGTCGGCGAGACTGGGGAGTAATTTTGTGGTGTGTGAGTTCCCCTGATACCCCGCCTCGCGTGGGTGCTGGCGTCGGCGAGACTGGGGAGTAATTTTGTGGTGTGTGAGTTCCCCTGATACCCCGCCTCGCGTGGGCGCTGGCGTCGGCGAGACTGGGGATCGCCTCACCTCGCCGCTGCGGCCGGGCAGAGTCTCTGGTGGTGGAGGAGCTGACGGCGATCAGCGAGCCGAAGCCGTTCCGGCGGCTGGGCCAGCTGCTGGCGGCGGCGGCCGGCTGCGGCCTGACCACGCTGGACGGCCCGCTGGCGGAGCGCCTCGCCGCCCTGCCGGCGCCCCAGCCGCTCACACTGCAGCTGGTGCAGGTGGGTCTGTCTCTGTATGGGTCTGTCTCTGTGTGTGAGTGTGAGTGTGTCTAGGTCCCTATATGCGTATATCGTCTGCCCCACCAGACGGTGGCGGCGGCGGGGTTCGGCTGGTGGTCAGTGCGGCCGAACCAGTCTGAAGGTGTCCAGCTGCTCTCCGTCGCAGTCTTCAGCCTGCATAGCTTTGTTTGCGATCAGATTTTGGTCCCTGCTTCGCTTTCTGGTCCTGCTGTATCAGCGGTGACCACTCAGCCATCATGATGCCTATCTTTGCTATGACGTCAGTGTTTGGCCGGGTGCCTGACCTGGAGCGGTGTGCGGTGAGCGGTGTGCGGTGAGCGGTGAGCGGTGAGCGCGCTTTGACCGGCCGCCGGCACAGGACCTGCTGGAGAGCGGCGTGGCCCGCCAAGCCGGCTGGTGCCGCCCGCTGGCCCGCTTCAGCGTCATCGCCCTGGACCGGACGCTGGAGCTGGACACGCCGGCCGAGGCGATGCTAGAGCAGCGGCAGCGGGCGCTGCAGTGTCTGCGACTGATGGAGGGCGTTGAGGATCTCGGTACGGTGAGGGGCGCGGTGGACGGTTCACGATGGAGGGTGGACGGTACGGTTAGGCACGTGGCGGTGGACGGTTGACGATGGAGGGTGGACGGTACGGTTAGGCGCGTGGCGGTGGACGGTTGACGATGGAGGGTGGACGGTTGCGTGCGTGCGTGCGTGCGTGCGTGCGTGCGTGCGTGCGTGCGTGCGTGCGTGCGTGCGTGCGTGCGTGCGTGCGTGCGTGCGTGCGTGCGTGCGTGCGTGCGTGCGTGCGTGCGTGCGTGCGTGCGTGCGTGCGTGCGTGCGTGTGTGTGTGTGTGCGTGCGTGCGTGCGTGCGTGCGTGCGTGCGTGTGTGTGTGTGTGTGTGTGTGTGTGTGTGTGTGTGTGTGTGTGTGCAATACATTCAGTGTATTGACGGACTAGGAAAATATGTGTCGAAGTTCGGCGGATGTCATCTGATATTGCCAAAAATCAGCGACAAACAAATGGCAGTAGCTCGATACCCTGAAAGTAAACCTTACCAGCAGCTGCTGCACCTGCTGTGCATTATGTCCGAAGGCCGCCGCAGGCTTCTGCTGTGCAGTCGGTCATGGTACTGACGGACCGGCATGGCTGCTGTGACGTCCTCCTGTCTCGGCCGCCAGACAGCGACGGCGACCTGGTCGGCCTGGCTGCCCGCTGTCACCCGGTGACAGAGCAGTACGTGGAGCGGTACCTACTGGGCCGGCTGCCCGGCGCCGCCGAGCCGGCCGGTCTGCTCGGCTGCCTCACCGACCCAGCCGCCGCGCCCTGGCGGCCCGACGACCATACCCTGCTCAAGGCCACGCTCGCATCGGTACGTCGGACGGCGGTGGCGCCGGGGCTGCATGGCCCGTGTCAGAACGGCGCTGAAATAGAGCACTCCGTGGGTGGTTTGTGAGGCGTGAGGGACAGTGCCAAGGCACCGATCGGTAAACATGTGAGACTGACGCCTCAGTGCAGTGGGATGTGTGTGCCTGGGATGTGGATGTTATGTCCGCGCACAGCACAGCTCCCTGAGCGCTCCCCGCCCCGACAGTACCTGCCGTACCTGTGCGCCGACGAGTGGCGACTGCTGCACGCCGGCCTGCTGCAGTACAACAGCGGCTCGGTGCCGTACGCGCCGGCGGCGGCGGCCGCGGCCGCAGCCGAGCAGCGGCCCCTGGCGCGCACCGTCTGGTACTACGGCGACCTGGTGACGCTGTGGACGGCGCCGGCGGAGGACGCCCCACCCGAGGAGTCACTCCGCCTACCGGCCGACCGGCTGGCCGCCTGTCTGCGCGCCGTCGCCGTCCAGGTCAAGGTGGGTGGCAGCGGGGCGGGACGCCGCGGCGGGCGAGCGACGCACGGGCACGCGCCGTAACGGCGGGGACCGGCCGCGGGCTTCAGAGATTAGTCAAGCTGGATGAATTGCATTTATATGCTTGGTAATTCTTGCATCCTGTGGTGGGGAAACGACAGGACGAGGCGCCCAGTACCGTGTCTGTGACTGGCGGCGGCACGCGTGGTCGACGTGGCCAGGGCACCACGTGCACGTTAAGTGGTCCGTGCTTACGGAGGCCCCAGGTTTATATTTAGATTCAGCATGGGCGATCCGCAACCGTAGTGCCTTCATCTGAGACGCCAATAAAGGTAAAGTGCTGAGAAAAGTCTTGGCCCACCTTATTGAAGCACGATGTGCTCACGACGTGCACTCTCAAACTTTTCAGTGACGTGTAGACAGGGTTATATGCTTCAAATCTCCTGAACGATGGTATATGCGAATCAATACTGGTACGGTTCAGCATAATGACCCCTCCGATACACCGTCGGCGCCTGCATGATCCGGTGCGGGCTCGAGACTGTGTTACGCGATTTGTGTTTCGGGTGTTGTAGTCGTGTAGCTGGCGAGCTCGTGGACCGATGAGCTGTTGATGTGCTCGGGAGCACCAGTTCTGATAGTTCGTTGGAATGGGCAGACGGTGAGGCATTCGGCTAATTTAGCCGCTCGGAGGGTAACCATAGATATCGCCACCAAGTATCGTCTGACCCCTGTCCTCCCTGCAGTGCTCCTTGGAGTCGTGTACTGGTGAGGAGCGGCACGGTGACGTGTCTGATCCCTGTCCTCCCTGCGGTGCTTCCTGGAGTCGTGTACTGGTGAGGAGCGGTACGGTGACGTGTCTGATCCCTGTCCTCCCTGCAGTGCTTCCTGGAGTCGTGTACTGGTGAGGAGCGGTACGGTGACGTGTCTGATCCCTGTCCTCCCTGCAGTGCTTCCTGGAGTCGTGTACTGGTGAGGAGCGGTACGGTGACGTGTCTGATCCCTGTCCTCCCTGCAGTGCTTCCTGGAGTCGTGTACTGGTGAGGAGCGGTACGGTGACGTGTCTGACCCCTGTCCTCCCTGTAGCGCTCCCTGGAGTCGTGTACTGGTGAGGAGCGGTACGGTGGCGTGTTTCCCTCCCTACAACGCTCCCTGGAGTCGTGTACTGGTGAGGAGCGGTACGGTGACGTGTCTGTCCCCTGTCCTCCCTGTAGCGCTCCCTGGAGTCGTGTACCGGTAGGAGCGGTTCGGTGACGTATCTGATCCCTGCCCTCTCTGCAGCATTCCCTGGAATCGTGTGTCAGTGAGGAGCGGATCGGATCGAATCGTGTGTCGGTGACGTGCCTCTCTCCCTGCAGCGCTCCCTGGAGTCCTGCACCGGTGAGGAGCGGTACGCTGATGACCTGTCGGCCGTGTTCCTGCCGCTGACGCACCTGATGACCCTGGTGTCGGACCAGACCGCCCGCGAGCCGCTGGAGCTGCTGGCGCTCTTCGTCACGGCCGAGTTCATCAAACAAGTGCGTCGCACCGAACTGGACGGCCTGCAGCCAGGCGGCCAAAACCGTGGCGTGCAAAGGGATGGCTACCATGGATGGGGGATAACATATCAGTGTTCTGCTGATCAGCAGCGTGCAGTTTGGAGCCAGCAGTGGGCGTGATGGGGGCTTTGCCAAACACGGCGTCGGTGAGGGTGGCATAACCATGGACCCTTGATGACTACGGCTTCTAGGTGAATGGAACGCTCAGGGCGCTGACGTGGAGTGAAGCAGTTGGCCTGACGTTGGGTAGACTTGCCGTCCAATGTTTTTTTCTTTTTTGTTTTACTGTGAGGCTGTTGCTGAACCCGCCATGTATTTGTGTGCCATCCGTTGGTGAGAATGCATCAGCTTGGCAATGCCTATGGACGTGATGTTGATGAAGTGCTTCTTATCTGGGCCAGATGACGAGTCGGATGGAGGCGGAGGCCAAGCCGGCTAGCGGGCCGGCCTCGGCCACCATGGACTGGCAGCTGCAGCAGATGGACGCGTCGGCCGGCGTGCTGTCCCAGTTCGTGGTGGGCTGCTTCAACATCCCCAACGACTCGCCCATCAAGAAGCGCGTGCTGCAGCACATCAGCGGCTCGGTGCTGCGTGACCTGGCGGAGCAGGCGGTCGCCGGCTAGGGCACCTCCGGCTCCGCGCATCGCCCCGGCTAGGCCGGGCTCGAAGGCTCAGATCGAGAACTGGGGTAGAAGATCTGAGGGTGCGGAGGATGGAGCAGGCCGGTGGGCAGTGCCAATAGGGTGATATTTTGAGGAGGCTTCGGAGTGCTGGGTCGCTGTCGTGGTTTCTCACGCGACGTCAGTTTTGCGTGAGGAAATTGTGCGCAGTTGAGAGGTGTGAAAATCGCTGTTTGTGACCTGGACGTATTTCTCAGATCACTTGTTGGCCTCCTGTTCAGCAGCGGCTGATGTCTTGCCAAGTCGTTGCTTCCATATCAGTATTTGTTCGCGCCGCCACTCGTATTGAAGGTATGTAACAAATACAAACGTCGAATACGTCACTAACCTGTATTTCGAGTTTCATATCACATGATAATATGTGTCTGAACCCTGCTAGCTTAATCCTCTGCTATGTGCTGCTGCACGTAGGGTGAAATCATCTACGCATTGCGGAATGCCTTGGTACAATGATCGGAAGGACCAAGTCTACGTTCGCTCCCATCTGCGCGTAAGAATCTGCGAGCCCAACACTCGGCCTGGGAGCACGCCACTCGCGGGCAAGACTGAAACAAGGCTAGCTGACGGAGAGGGGGCGCCCGCCCGGCGGCTGCGCGCGCAGCGGCGCCGGGCGGCGCGGCGGCAGGGCTACAGTGACGTCACGGTCCGTGCCCTGCGCGGCAGTATCACGGTAATTGGCACGCGAGACGCAGACATGTCCAGCGCCGACAGCGTTCGGCGCGCCGGGCACCTCGCGGGCGCCGCCGCGCGGCGTCTCCACTTCACCCGCGCGCGCGCACACCACCTCATTGTCCGGTATAAGTTAGTGGGACCGACCGGCCGGCGGTCGAGCTCAGGGTCGGCTGACGCCCGTCTTGCCGGTCCACGGGTACTTCTCCGGGCACGGCTGGCACGTGGTCATGTAGCGCACGCCAGACTTGTGCCACAGGTTGCACTTGCGCGCCTTCACGCAGCGGGCGGGACGCTCCTGGGGGTGGGGTGGGGGTTGTTAGGTACCGGCGATGGACTACGCTGTCTCACTGTGACAGACACGGATCACATGTGTAACAAGGCGCTGTGACGACGCGCGGGTGGTACAACCGCGCTACTGCGCGCCACCGAATCTATGCTGCATCGCACCCGGGCATCGCTCGCTGGCACAGAACGGATGCCGAGCCAATGGCTGCGCTGGCTGCCGATCAAGAAACTTAAACGATGCGTCTCAAGCTGTTGGGAACTGGTGACGGCTTGTCCCGCGCGCTGCGCCGCGGTCGGATCGCACGAGCTCATTACCGGGTAGTCGCAGCCGAACGGCTTGAAGCTCTTGACGGTGCTGAGCGGCTGGGGGTCGCGCACCCACTGGATCGCCTGCCAGTTGGTCACCAGCCAGACGTCGTCCATCTTGCTGATGGTGTCGAGGAAGGCCATGAAGCCCTCCTTGTGGTGCTCGGTGGTGAACCAGGCGGCGTGGAAGTACAGCGGGAAGACGGCTCTGCGGTGTGAGCAGGCGCTGTCAGCTGGCTTCGAACACCACCAGAGCCAGACGCTTGGCGGCCCAGCGCCACCGGACGGGACGCCGCACCGTTCAGACCACAGTTGAGACACCACAGCGTTTTTTTTTCTGAAGAGCCCGAGACCTTGTCAAAACATAATTGAAAGTGATCATGCTATCTTGCTGTACAGATCGTACAGATCATTTTAAGCCACGGGTACCTGCTTACTCGTCCATAGAGGATGCAGTCACCACGGCTAGGGACGTATGCCCAGTTAACCGTGTCCCTACTCCCGCGTTAATTGCCTGCATACACCATTCCTATTTGGAATAAGATGGTGCCAACCCAGCCCACAGACTTTGGTGTTGCATCTTTCAATGCCATCGAGTTCTGACTCGCCTGTTGCTGGTGTAGTGACGCTCGAAGTTCTTGATCAGCATCTTGTAGACCTCCTCGGCAGTGGAAGGAGCGGAGCAAGCATCGACCATCGAGCAGCGACCGCCGCTCAGGTCCTGCCACATCACCATCGGCACTTCCCACACGCCTGAGAGGTCAGATCAGGTCGCGTCAGGTTAGGTTAGGTTGCGGCCACGGTCACGAGGCTGCGGCCGTCCGACTCCGACGTTACTTTCGAAGCCCGCACGCGCACACGGCACAAGAATAGTTCTGTCATGTGCACAGCCTTGTCCACTGCAGCGAAGTCAGCGTCGCAATACCGCGGAGGAGCAGCTGCCAGTTAGGGGCCGGCTGGGAGCGGGACCCGCCCCCCGGCTGGGACATTGCCACGCGTCAGAGCCGACAGTCACCGCCGCCGGCAGATGGCGCTCAACTCACGGACAGGTCGGACACACACACAAGCGTAGTCCATACCTGTGCCAGCCCGGTATTGCTAGACTCGCGCAGTCGATCGAGGAACCTGAGCCTTGGTAGTTTCACAGGACAGTAAAGTGGAAAGCTTCTCGAGAATGCGCCTGAGAACACTCATCACGGCTTCGCGGGGCTTCAGCCCGCTGGGAAGACCGCGACACTGCGGGACAACTTCTGCCCCCCCCCCCCCCACCACCACGTTCCATTTTCTGACCTGCGTGGACCTGATTGGGGCAGGACAGGTGGATCGTGTCGCCGTGATGGATTGGCGTTACTGATCTGGGCAACTCCTGCCGGGGAAGGGCTTCCTGGGATCGTGCGTTGGTGGTGGATCACGGTCACTAGCCTGGGCAGACAAGACTGGAGGGGGGGGGGGGGGAGCACGATCACACAGCCGGGTGGTTCACCGTTGCTGACCCGGTTGGATACTGTCGGAGCAGGCCGTCCTAAGATCATACGGTCATGGTGGATCACCGTTACTAACCTGGGCAGGCCTGTCTCAAAGGGAGCAGGGTCATGCAGTCGTGGTGGACCTCGACTGACCTGGGTATGCCTTGTTGGGGCAGGGCGGGATCATGCAGTCGTGGTGGATTTTGTAGTCGAGTGTGTACGGCCAGCTCGGCGGGTTGTTCTCATACACCGGCATCGACGAGTCGTAGGTGAAGTTGTTGTTGTACAACATCTTGAACATCCGGTTACCTCCGATCTGAAAATGTGTAGGCTGTGAGTGTGGTAGGCCACAGAGCTGACATTTTCACACACAGATTACTGGTCAATTTCTTCCCGATGGAGTGTACCAGTCTAACATATTCATGTGATGCCAGGATAGGCTCACAAATGCATCGCATCCAAAAGCTCTAATGGATTGCACCATCCGCAGAGTGAGGAGTGCTCCACTCACCGAGAGGAAGGGAGCGCGCATGCCCCTAATGTCCTCCATGCGCACGCCTCCGTAGGCGGCCATGATCTCACGCTGGCCAGCGATTTCACGCTCCCACTTGGACGTTGAGAACTGCTCTCCGAAGCTGTGACTGTGAACGGGCGGAGCGTGTTCTGGTCAGTCTGCATTGGCTCACGACGAGGACTTGTGCTGTTGCATCCGATAGCATGTAAATAACATCGAGGCTATGCTCTCTAATACGCTTTTTTGATCATGCTCCGTATTTTTCAAATGGTAGTCTGGCCTTACCGCAGGTGAATTACCGATTCATTTAACATGTAACGTACATCACGAGGCACTATCATTCCCTAACCCATCACATGAAAAACATTCGGCGCTCATGCTTTTAGTGCGTCACCCTTGAGCCCGCTAGTGACAGACGCGATGGCATGTACCGACCCCATGCAGACGCACCTGGAAGGCGATACCACATGCCGTCGGAGAACGCATATAAGTGGTCAGGCTCAGCGCCATCTCTAGCCAGCGATCACCAGCCGGTGGAAACACCAGCGAGAGGCCCCGAGAGACCCCACTCGGCGCCCCGTCTTCTGAATCACCATCCCATCGCCTCCTAAAAAAGGGTCGCGAGTCGCACGGCCCGTGGCCCCGGTGAGGACCCGTGGCTTTGGCGAGGACCCAAAGCCCGACGCTGCTAGCTGCCGATGCCGCTCACCTGATGGAGTGCGAGGCCATCTCGTGCCCGTCGGCGTACAGGTTCTGCACCTGCTTGTAGTCGGTCCACTCGTGCGACACGTAAAACGTGGCCGATATGGGGCAGCCGTTGGGGTTGACACGGCCGTTCTCGAACATGTCCTTGTACAAGCCGTGGTTGAGGTCGTTGACCGAGTCGTCGAAGGTGAGCAGCACCAGCTGCGGCACGTTCTGCGACTCCAGGCCACCTGGGCGAGGTCAGCGCCGGTCAGGGCAGGTCAGGTCGGCTCGGCTGGCGGTGGACGGGGTCGGCCAGACCGCCGACCTCAGCCGGGGCCGGAGGCGCGGGAGGCAGGCTCGCCGCGCGAGCTGCTCTGGAGCACCAGCCGGACCCCACGAGGCGGCGCCACTGTCGTGTGTCCGGCGTTAGCTGTCAGTCGTCGTCGCGCGCTGTCCGGGACCCGGGAGCATCACAGCCTGTCGTTGCTGCAGCAGCCTGGCTTGGAACTAGCGTAGTAGGTGAGGAGGACACGCTGGTCGTCATCTCGAACTGATCACTCACGGAACCTGCTGACCGAGTGACCAGCCCCATCGCATCCCACGCAAAGGACAAAAGTTTGCGTAATCGCCCTCGAACACTGATATCACCAACTTAGTCCCTGGAGCTCCACGGAAGGGCGCATAACGACGTGCGACGCGTTCCGAATAGCTGACTATCCGCTCAGTGAGGCGCGCAGCCGTAGTCTGAACATGCTCACCGATGGAGTTTGCATTCAAATCAGAAGCGAGGAAGAATGGAATACCGACGATGATGAATCGGCCGCCACCTATGTCCACGTGGGCTGGTTTGAAGTGCTGGTTGGCTCAGTGGATCGCCATGGCCCCAAACACTGATATGGACGATGCAGTTGTTGACGCTCCGTAAAAGGAGCATGGCGATGTGCGTCGCCTTCTCCCAAAGCGGATATCAGTAGACTCACCAGTAAAACAAGTTGGTTGGAGGAAATTGATGGTGATGCCATTGCTATTTGTAACGTGCACCTCCCGTAGGCCGGCAACGCTCGCTGCTGCATAATTCTTGGATTTTTAAGGCAACGCAAGGGCTGACGTTGGGAAGAACATAATATCTGACTCATGCCGGTAGTTTAACACACTGTGCAGAGCGACCGCAAACTTAGTCGCCCGCGAGCCTGAAGAAAGTCCAGATAAAGAGCGGCGAACTTTACACTGACCACACGACCTGACCAACCCGTGCATTCTCCCTATCTGGCCCCGCTGAGACAGGGCGACGTTCAAGCCAGGCAATGTTGCGGATGGCGGCAGATGGAAGCCGACAACGAGTTCAGACGTGGCGCATCGGCGGCGAACGAAGCCCCGGCGGCTCGAGCCGTCGGCATCTCGCCCTTGCTGCCTTCTGGTCACGCTCAGCTGACTGTGAATTGCTGGACTTGCACAACGGGCTGCCCCACGACAGACGTCCAGGAGCGCACGAGCGTTCGACTCCCCGGCGTCCCGGCGGTCCCCGGCCCCGGTCAGGCCATGTCGTGCCCAGCTGAGTCGCGAGTACGTGGAGAATTTGCTTCGACGGAGTCAAGAGAAGTGATGGCCTGCGAGAGTGTGGTTTAGATGTGCAAATCCGACTGTTTAATGCAGCATGCTGCTGAGAAGGTGTGTTGAGTCGTCAGTGCCCACATGTGTTATCACGGACGTTATCCGACGCGCCGATAGACATGCAGTTTGGAGCCGGACCAGGCTGTGGCGGAGACCAGGGGCGGCCCCAGAAGCCCAGGTCGCCGGCCGTGTGGGGTCTCCACGGTCCTCGGCACAGGCGCTGGCCCCAGTGGATAGGCCCGCCGGCGGCTGCCCCGCGCCGCGTGAACAGGCAGACAGGCGTGCAGTGGACAGAACAGACCCACAGACTGAGAGACGAACGGGCGGACGGACGGACGGACGGCCAGACCAGCAGGCACGAGCATGCAGCCGACCGCGGCGGACCCGGGGCGGACCCGAGCGGATCCGCACGGACCCGGGCGGATCCGCACGCCGCCGCGCGGACCGGCTACTTACGACACGGAGTGCGAGGCCATCTCGTGTCCGTCGGCGTACAGGTTCTGCACGTGCGCGTAGTTGGTCCACTCGTGCGACACGTACATGGTGGACGCGATGGGACAGCCGTTGGGGTTGACACGGCCCTCCTCAAACATGTCTTTGTACAGGCCCTTGTTAAGATCGTTGACGGCGTCGTCAAAGGTAAGCAGCACCAGCTGCGGCGTGTCCTCGGGGTGGAGGTTGCCTGGGCAGGCGGCCGATGTCAGTTGTGGGAGTGACACGGCTCGCACGGCAGGGGCACGCCACGCGGACGAGTGTCTAGGCTGTGTTGCACCACGGGGCTAGCCGTGGCAGCTTGTCGCCACCGGCAGGTCTTTTTCGACTCTTAAACAGTAGGCCGATGAAGAGAAAACAGAAACATGACTTTGACAATGGCTTGGAGATCACACGGTGATGATCCAAGTACATGCTGCTCATAAAACTTCCCTTACCGATTATAAGCTCAAAACAGCTCTCCCTAACAAGGAAACTTCCGGTCATGTACACACATCACACCACGCCGCCTTCATATCGTTCTTGTCAAACGTATTTACATACCAGACACAATACTATACCTTCATATTCTGAGCAGTAAAGGCAAATTCGGAGCATGGTCACGCTGTAATTCTGAGAGAATGTTCGAGTTGCAACTTTGGAAATATTGCTGAGTTCCAAACGCGATTTTCTTAGACGAGAGTTACATCAATCGACAGATGTCATATGATAAGGCATGTGTGATGCTGCACAGGCGATCGCAAATTGGCTGGCAAGTCCCATGGAAGGCATCGAAAGATTCTTACTCTGGAAAACAGGGGTCATAAGCGGATGATCAGAACACACTGAAATTAATGTCCAGCAATGCAGCACCTGCTGTGTCATATCCCGCCAGTGCGTGAGCACCCACATGACCTCGCGGCAACGAGCAGCCGGAGCTGACATCAGCGACACAGCCCGTCCCCCCCCCCCCCCGTCACGACCAGCGCGTCCGTGACCTGGAACAGGGCGGACCTCGTGAGGGCCCGCCCGTCTGAGTGTGAGGGTACGTACCGGGAGTGGCAGTGCCGCCGCAGTTACAGTCGGGGAGTCGGCAGCGCGCGTCACACCGCTCGGCCGGCTGGTCGGGCTCCGGCTGCGGATAGACAGGGGCGGGCCTGCCGAGACAGACGAGACCGGTTAGAGGCGGGCGAGACCGGGCAGAGACGGACGAGACCGGACAGATTTGGACTAGACTAGTCAGAGACGGATGAGACCGGCCAGAGACGGACGAGACCGGTTATAGACGGAAGAGATCGGTCACAGACGGACGCTTTCGGGCAGAGACAGCCGAGACCGGGAAGAGACAAGACCGGTCAGAAGAGACAGCCGAGACCGGTCACAGATGCATGAGACCGGACAGAGACGGACGAGACCGGTCACAGGCGGACATTATAGGTAAGCCTTTTCACGTTGAACACACATTTCCACCATCTTCTATCACTGGGTCGCTCTCTCCTGTGCTATTTAAATCTGGCCGAGCGTTCTAAATGACATTGGACGGGATCTGCTAGCACAACTAGTTCCTGGAGCCTCCCTACTACCACACCCATCCATTGCCATTACATGAGCCTGTCCCCCAACACACCCATCCACCCATATCCATTGAAATTTCCCCGTTCAATGGATATTTTTGCCGACAGGCTTTCACATGCAACGCAATGCTATAACAAGGCCGCGCTTGCTTCGCTCCGCCTCCCTTGGCCAGTTCCACGGAGAGTCGAGGGCGGGTCAAGCCAGCGCTGTCCCTGGGACGCCAACCCGCGTATCCACCACATATTGGTCAGAGCGTGGGCACAAACAGCTGTTGTTCAGGAACAACAAATGTATAGAGCCAATACATCAAGGGTGCCGTGTGTTCACCCATCTGATCCATGCATGTTACTCGTGATGGTCAGGGATCGAGAGCGCGTTCCAATGCGCAGGCACAGCAGGGTTCGCACCTCCACGGGGGATGTTCCCAGATGTTGACCGCCGGCCTCGCGTGTCCACCTCTGCTTCCGCTGTTCTTGGACTTCTTCGGGAAGCTTGGTCTGCTGCAAGAATTGCATGGCACAATTTGAAAACATTTCGTGGTTACTGTATCAGGATATGTGACTATGACTGTCATGCAAGGTTGCACAAAAGCTGTGCACGGCAATGCGTAAAACGGTTAAATAGATGACCACATCACTGTTATGTAATTGGTATACAACGTTGATAAAACTCGGTCATGGATGTACGGTTATCATAACGATTATATGGAGTTCAAATAACGGCTATACGTTGCGTAGCATAAGGTGGCTATATTTCAGTTGCATGGCCGCCGATCTTTTTTAATAGGGAGATCAGTAAGGTTCATCCGCAAAAGCGGCACTTTTCCGAGACCCTGAGAGCTCACCCCGCTCGCCTTAATCGTCCCACATTTCCCTCCTCCATCTCTCCTCCTCTCTTCCCTCTCTCATCTCCCTCCCTCTCTCCCTCTCCCTCCCTTTTCATCCCTCCCTCCCTCCCTCCCTCCCTCGCCTCCGTCGCTGCCTCGCCGCCGCTCTGCACCTGTTGGGGCGGCGCGAGCTGCCCGTGTCGATGGAGCGGAGGCCGCTGCTGGGCGTGCGCCGGCTGCTGCCGAGGTCGGTCGACTTGGACGCCTGCCGCGCCGGCGCCGGCGCCGGGGCGCGCGTCGAGCCGCGGCTGGAGCCTCGCGTCGAGCCGCGAGTCGAGCCGAACGTGGACTGGGCGGTGGAGCCTCGCGTGGAGCCGCGGCTCGAGCCGGAGCTGAAGGTGGAGCCGCGACTCGAGCCGGAGCTGAAGGTGGAGCCGCGACTCGAGCCGGAGCTGAAGCTGGAGCCGAGGGTGGAGCCGCGCGTCGAGCTCAGGTCCGTGGTGGATGTCTTGCGGAAGGTGTCAGCAGAGCTGAAACTGGAGCGGCGCGAGGAGGTGAAAACACCGCTCCATCACGTTTGGGCGGGAAGTGATAGGAATGACTAACTTGTCAGGGGCTAGTGCATTGCGATGAATCTAATATAAAGTGGTGTAAAAGGTCTCAGTAAATTTAAGTTTGCTGGCTCGAGTTTGTTTCAAATTTCTTGTGTACACTCCAGTAAACTTAAGTGCACAAGTAACAACGTATTGCAAATCAGAAGGGCTACGGGACACATGCATCTTAAGGCAAAGGGTTGTTTTGCCTGATCCGTGCCCGTAAGTCCCCGCTTTCTTCCACCTGTGTTGTCGTCAAAGATCAGGCAAAAGATAGTTCACTTAAGATCGTTTGTGGTGCTCGTGACATACATAGACGTACCTGGAGCGACAGCGTGCTGACTACATGACACGGCGCACACTTGGCGGGCCTTGAAAGCACAGTCTCTTACCCCACATGGGTAGAGCACCACAGACCACACTTAACGGTAGACGGGCACGACACCGGTCAGCCCGGGCGATCTCGTCAGAAGTCGGCGGCGGCTCAGCACAACACCTACCTGGGTCGGACAACGCGGCGGTTGGTGGCGGTGGTGGTGGTGGTTGTGGTGGTGGTGGTGGTGGGTTTAGGGTTGCGGGGAGCGTTGACTCGTCGGCGGACGGTGGGCCTTAGTCTGGTCTGGGGACGTCCAGTCAACCGGCTGCTGCTAGAAAGGAGCATGCAAGTTTCTCAGGGCTTGAAAGCAGGCCAGGGATTCACTGGGCCCGGATGTGTCGACTGCACAGACGGCCAGACGACATATAAACAGGGCAGGCAGACGCAAGGACCAGCAGGCGACACACGGACCAGCAGGCGACACACGGACCGGCAGGCGACACACGGACCAGCAGGCGACACACGGACCAGCAGACGATACACGGACCAGCAGGCGACACACGGACCAGCAGGCGACACACGGACCAGCAGGCGACAGACAGACCAGCAGGCGACACACGGACCAACAACCATCATCCTGGGCTTCTATTGGTCATGCGGGAACATCGGATGACGGATGACGGCATTAGTTCGTGAGGTAAACTCCCGGGAGCTTGTCGAATGCACAGTATCCTGTAAGCTCACCTAGAACTAAGTGTTACTATAGGTACGGAGTGGTATGCCACTCTGCAGTGAGTGGGGTGGCTGCTTAATCTGATCGTGATTTCAGGGGTCACTTGAGAGCTTGTTCTGCAGATTAAGCGCTCATTAAAAGCAAATGAGCTCACGAGAAGCCTTTACCACGTGCTCGCAATAGCAGTGAGATCTTTAGAGCTGGAACGTAAGCATTTAAACCGGTAAATATAGCAAGCCACACAATGCACTTCCAGCACAATTATCGTCCCCATGTCATGGAAGCCATAACGTGTCTGCGCCCAGGATAGGACCACGGATGTAGCAGCAGGGGTGCCTCCCTCCTGACAGCACAAGCACAGGCGGACAGTCTCAAAAGAACGATGCGACACGAAGTGCTGGATGTGAACGACAATAGACTTAAAGACAAAAGAGCAGGGCCAGAGGACAGCTCACAACCGACCTGTGTGTTGGTCGGCGGCTTAATAAGAGCCATGCTGTGCACTGTTGGCGCGCCAGCCGCCACACTGTCCCCCGCGTGCGCCATTCACCATGCCTTCACACTTCCAGGGCATGCGTCATGCCGCGCGCCGTGTCATGCCGCGCGCATCATGCCGGTCGTCAGCGCGGGGCCGCCGCTGTTTTGTCTTGGCGTTTGAAGGATAGGGCTGGCGTCGGGAGAATGCCAAGCTCCACTCCAAGGACAGCCTCAAGTCGGCACAATTGTCACGACTGTCACCGGATGGGACGGAGGTGTTTCTTTACGAGGACATTTTTAACTTTATAAGAACGAGACGCTGTTGAGGTTACGAAATCAACAAACGCCTGCTACTTTGTATGCATTTGGCCTCGGGAGCATTCAAATGGCAGTGAGTCCTTGGCACGGCACAGCATCCTGCTGCTGCACGGAACTCGAGGGGACAACATCAAACGGCCTCTCCGGCGAGACGGATACCTGGACCCGTGAGGAGATACCAGGTGCCGATGCGACCGCAGTTTTTGTCTAGCACCTCTCGGGCAGAGTCACCTCAACTCATCGTGATCTGCCTCCCGAACGTCGGAGTGAGCTCCGTCGTGGAGGCCTGCTGCCAGTCTACGGCCATTCCTTCAGGATGTCATCTACCTGGCCTCAGTCGTCGTGGGGGTTTCGGTCGTGGTCGTCTTCTTGCGCGGCCTGGGCCGCCTACGGCGTGGTTTGGTAGGTTTGGTCTCGTCTGTCGTCTTGGTGCTGGTCTTTGCAGGCTTCCGCGTCTTTGTCCGTTGCCTCTTTCGTGTCCGAGTCCGTCTATAACCAGCACAGTCGATAAGCACGAAGACGGGGAGAGGGGTACCACCTTGGATGCGGAAATATCTACTGATGTCGACAGCTACAGTAATGACCTGAACAAACGGGTAGCCAATGTTCGTGAGAGGAACTGAACTACGGTCACGAATACCTAAAGCCAAATTCATAACTGCATCGCATGACCACTAAGGGTTGATTGTCTCGACAGGTCAACGCTGCTAGCCGGAAGTCTTTTGGTCACTCCACCCAGGAGCAATGTCAGTGTTCCACTACGGGTGAGCTTTGCGTCTCTGGGATCGGCACAGATGTCACAGGCTGTGCTGCGTGGAGCATCTGCAGCGCCCCTGCGCGGCTTCCTGACCTGCCGCGCCTCGACGGGGCGCCGGTAGCGACTCCGCACCTCATCAGCAGTCAACACCGCCAACCGCCGCCGTGCGACCGGGGCGCGGTGAGAGTTCTGGACAAGCGGCGATGAGCAGTGCGGTGATGTTATGTTCTTGTGCCGTCGAGCCCGTGTGCGGTGTGGTGGTGTTGTGTTTTGGTGTCGTCGGACCCGTGTGCGGTGTGGTGGTGTTGTGTTCTGGTGCCGTCGGACCCGTGTGAGGTGCGGCAGCGTTGTTTTCTGGTGCCGTCGCACCCCACCTGCCGTGCTGTGCTGCCCGCGCGGTGCGGCAGGTGGAGTCTCGCTACTTACCGCGGAGGGCTCGCCGTCGGCCGAGTAGCCTTGTTGCGCACGGCCGTCTGTGGAACAGCATGAGAACACACTGTTCATTCTGTCCGAAATCTCAAATGGATTTGACACGGGTAAATATAGACTTAAGGTATCAAAACTGAACAATCCACACCAGCTACACGAACGCGCTGCAAACTATTCGCCATTAATAACATGCATATGATAACCGCATTTCCATGCCCACCCGCCAGCTTCTCCCACTTTCTCCCATCCACTCTCTTCTCCCTCTCTGCTTTCCCTCTCTTCCTTCCACTCTTTCCCTCCCTCTCTCCCTCTCGCTAACCCTCTCTCTCTCCTCTCCTTGTTCCGGTTTCGATCTCATCCTCTCTCCTCTCCGGGCCGGTACTCACCGAGACGGTGGTGGTGGGCCTGGGCGCCGGCGGCCTACGCGTGGGCGCCGCATCCGTGGCCACTTCGTCCTCGTACAGCACCTCCTCATCGTCGTAGATGTAGTACACGTCGTAGATGGTGTCGTTGACGAAGGCCACGTAGGCGGGCTCGGTGTACGTCTGCACGGTGGGCGAGGGCGGCGTGGGACTGGCCGTCGGCCGGCGCGCGTTCACCGTCTGCACCGTCACCGTCGACGGCGGGAAGGCGCTGGGCGGCGGCGGCGGCGAGCCGCGCGACGACGAGACGAAGGTGGAGGGTGCCGGGCGCGGCGGCGGGCTGGCCACCGTCGGCCGCGGCTCGCGCTCCGGGAAGCGCGTGCCCGTGTCACCGAACGAGAACGACGAGAGCGTGGAGATACGGATGGGTGGCGCCGCCGTGGCCTTGGCGCGGGGCTGGTTGTCCCTGTGGGGAGCGACACCGCCGTCAGAAGGGCAACAGGGTCCGGCTGCCGAGGGACGGAGACCTGAGAACGCCGATGACCGCTGCAGCAGCGCGGGCAGGTCCATTTGCTATAGGGTTTATGGAGGGCCTAATAGGAGCTATTAGTGACGTGTTTCATATGCGCAAGACCACCCTAAAAGCTCAGTACTGTCGTACAGCTGCCAATTATATCGATCCATGCCACTGATGTCGAATACGGACGCGTTTGCATTAGGCAGTTTTTACTATATATCTCAAGTTGTATGTCAGTGTCATCTAGCGGCGAGACCATTACCTGCTGTCGTCGTCGCTAGATGTCAGGTAGGGGCTGGTCGGCACCGGTCGATAGTAAGCGTCATAGTCGTAGGTGTCGTACGGGTCAGGTCGACGCGGTCGGGAGTACGGCGGGAGCGGCACGCTCGGCAGCGGGTCGAAGAACTTGTGCTCGCTGTACGAGGGTCGGCTCGCGTTGGATGGTCGCTCCAGCGGCAGCGGCGCAGGATTGGTGGGCACGGGAAAGGCCGGGAACCAGCTGTCCAACGGGTCCAGACCGTAGGAATCCGTGGCGGTCGGAGTCGGCTCGCGCTCCGCGGTCGGGGGAGAGTAGGTGGTAGGGCGCGGTGGGGTCACTGATGGGCGGTACGTGGTGACCTTCGGCGGCTGCTCCGTCTGGTACGCCTCCTCGGGGTACGGGTCGGCGTACTGCGCGCTGTCGTACGAGTACGGGCGGTACGGGTTCGACTGCTGGCGCTCCTCCTCGTACGTCTTGTACGGCGGCGCCGGGAAAGAAGGTCGGAAGTCGTTCTGGAACTGATAGGGCTGCGGCGCCGGCGGCGGCCGGCGCACCACCTCCTTGGTCTTGCTGTTGAAAATCTGCGTCTGGAAGTTGTCCTCGAACACGGGGAACGGGTAGGCGTCATAGAAGCGCGGCGGGCCGTAGTAGTCGCGGTCTAGGTACTCCTCCTGGCTGTCCGGCCTCGAAGGCACGAACGGCGCCCCGAAGTGCACGTGCGAACGGGAGAGCGGCGACCGGCCGAACAGGCCGCTGAAACCCTGGTCGACGGAGCGGCGTCGCTGCGGCGGCCGTGTCAGCGCCGCAAATGGATTGCCGGCGCGCAGCGGCTGTGGGATGAAGGGACGCGAGAGGCGACGACCGCGCCGGCTGCCGGACGCCTTCTGGTCAGGCGGCGGCAACTGGAAGAAGTAGCGTCCGGCCGAGCTGGCGCCCACCGTCGGGTCGCTCTCGTTGACCGGCTCTCCGAGCCGCGCGCTCAGCACGGCGCCGCCGACCGCGACGTCACTGCTCGTCGTGACGTCACCGTCTGTCGTGACGTCACTGTCAGTCTGGCCGTCAGCGTCTGTCGTCTCACCGATCCGGTCGCTGTCGTTGGTCGGAGAGGCGTGGCTAGAAGACAGAATGTGCGCATGACTAGCTGCTGTGGGCAAATGGGCCGAGAGTAGGGCCGCTAATGATGCCTCCTTGGGCTCGAGTGTGGCGCGGGCACCAGGCTGAAGGTCAAGTGCCGTTACGCATGCTCCAGCAAACCTGTCAAGTAGGCCGCGGGGAGGCTCTAGGTCAACAGTGGGCGCGCGCCAGCCTGGTGTCGAAAATTTTTGACACCGTTCGCTTGATACAACGCCCTGTAAATTGACCGTGACTAACAGGGTAAGTCCATGAGCCAGCTGTAAGACGATGACTGTGCGCGAACAAAGACCGCCAGTGGGCGGGCCCTTGAGAGATCTCAATCATAAATCATGAATAATGCCTCGGCTTAACAGTAGCTTTTACCTTACAATTAAATATGACACCTGTGAAATTTATGATGTCGTGTTTTGCTTTTGTCCATATGCAGTGCTGTGCGTATGTGGTTACCCACCAACTACATGTAGTCAGTATCCACATATATAATGTTAAACTGTAGCGGACCCCACGCAGTCCAATCGCACGAGCTCAGCCGGCGGGCGGCGGAGGTCCGAGCCTCGGAGGAGCCGCGGACCGAGACGGCCGGCGGAGGTCCGAGCCTCGGAGGGGCCGCTCTGCGGTGCCGAACTCTAACCCGGCTCTGTTTCAGCGCCAGTGACCGACCTAGCGTTGAGGACAGGCAGTGCAGAGGTGGCGCTGCGGTCTGGACAGCGGACTATTCCGACCGTCGGCTTGCACACATCTGAGCCAGCAATGAACTATGAAAAACGTCCCACACACTCAGCGGGTGAAATCAGCCGTTCTCCAGAACAGCACCGATCGGCACTCCGCGCAATCTTTAATGACTTCATCCACATTGGGACCGGTTCAAAATGTGTTAGTTCATCTGTGTGTGCTCTGCCTTTCCCTTTCCGTCCATGTCGCTCATTAGGCAGTCACATGTATGTACAGCGGTCGTGGTGCTTCCTTCCAGCTGGCATGAGCCGTTGCAAGTCACTGAGTCACTGAGGTCTGTTTAAACACAGGATTACCGGAAGAAGGTTCTCCCGTTTGCTCCCGTTGACCAAGGGGCTAAACGTTTTTATACTATGCATAAATGTATACAAAATGTCAACATGTGCACATCATGATCAAAAACTGAAACGTGCGATGTAACGCCATCAGTCATTTGTGGCATTAGGCACTCATTTTCACAAGCGGTGTCAGAGATGCTGGGGGCTAAGTCACATGCCCATCGCATATTTTGAGGACCGAATAACAACCCTAGGTCAAACAAAACCCTGAACGTAGCCCAATCCTGCGGGGCCTACTCACTGCAGGCTCTGCACGGCCGGCTGCTGGAACCGTCCCCGTCCGCTGCTGGAGTCTGGACTGAACAGACGCTGCTGCCGGCGGGTCACGATCTTCTGCGGACGGGGGTGGGGGGGGGAGGGGGGAGCGTTAGCGGACGCCACGCGTGAGGACATGGCTTCAAAACATCAGACGGAGCGAGATGTGGCGGGACTCAATGCACAAGGCCCGATGTTTCAGATACAGCCCCTCCAATATTCATGCTGTATGCGGTGTAGTGCTAACAACGGGACAAACATTGCGGCACTGTGGTAGCCTGAAGTATCTCCATTCTGCAGATCCACGGTACATGATGCTGCCAAAAGCCAGTCTGGTACTGTCTGACTCAGGACGAGCGGGGACGCGGCTCCGACACGACTGGGGCTGACACGATGGCTGGGCCAACCGCCGCTGGGATCGGCCCAGCTTGGCCCGACACGACTCGGCCCGTCACGGCCGTGCTCGACACGGCTGGTACGGTACAACGTTCACTCCAGGCCGGACCCAGCCGAGCCAGATCCAGCCCGACATGGCTAGTCCAGTCAAACGGTCAGTCCAGCTCGGACCCAGTCGGGCCGAATCCAGCCGTGGGGCCGCGTGATCAGGCCAGATCCAGCGTGGATTGGGCCACCGTGACACGTGGCGCCTCGTACCGTTCGCTTCGCCAGCCGGACGCCGCACACGAGCGACTGCCAGGAGCCCGTATTGCGAACGATGGCAAACGACGGAGGAGGCATGAGGCAGCCTGGCGCGATACCATCTCCAGGACAGAGAGTGGCGCAGCGGCGCTCTGCAATACGTGCTCCATCCGCGCAGTGAGGCCGAACTCGTGCGACCTGCACGGGCAACGGGTCACCCCGGCCGACTGCGTCGGGTTGTGCTCGGAACTCACGTTGGTGTCGTCTTCAAAGCGCACGTCCAGGTCGCTGGGTCGGCGGTCGACTCCTCCGAGAAGGCGAGCCTGCTCGGCCAACGCGGCCTGCGAGCTGCGCGCGCTCGACGGGCCGAACCGCTCGTCCAGGTTGTTCCTCACCGGTGCCGTCCTGCGCGGCGGGTCAGGTCAGGGGTCAGTGCCTCAGGGAGTGGTGGATCGCATGGAACTGCGGGTGCTGGGCGTAGGCCGACTGCCGCTGGCGCAGTTGTGCGATCATCTTGTGGAGAAGAACAGGATCGCAGCCCGTCATATCTCCGCGATCAGCGATTATGAAGGACGAAGATGGTGGCGAGATGGCGATGACGGTGTGAAATGTTTGCTGCTGCTTCCTTGATGCGCTGAATCGCCCGAGATAAGAATGGGCGCTGCGCGAAGACGCTATCGCTGTGATTGATCTGCTGACCGTACGGAGCGGCTATTGTGGCGTAAAGATCTCGGGGTGTGTCTGTCAGACGCTGAGATGCCAACAGCGAGACCCATTTCAAAACCGCTCCTGCGACCTTGCCAACCGGACGGACCAGTGTTTGTCCGAGTGGCATAGGTGGGTCGGTCTTTTGAGTGCCCTAATGAGACAAGACACGGGCACAAAATACCGCCAACTCAAGAGTTAAGTGGCCAACAAGGGAGTGAATGCGTATGCATTTACTTGCAGCCTGAGCGGCTCTTTGAACTAATATAGAGACACGCAATGTTCACCTAGTAGATAGGCATCTACACTCCGGCAAACAGGTTGCATTTATATGCATGGCGTTATTTGTGTACTCGGCCCATGCTGGATTTTAGAATGCCGTTAACTGTAGTGTACAGTGGCTGGTAAAGCCGCCAGACAAAGCAAACGTTTTTATCCTGCTGCCGCCGGCGCGACGTTGGAAATCGGTGGCGATGGCGTTGTCCGCGGCGTCTGGCAGGTGTTAGATGTCGACATAACCCATTGTTCAATTCTGACGTCAATATTGCATGCGCCGGCACATTGTTGTGGCACTGCACGCGACATTGCTGATCGATCCGTGTTGCCGATGCAGCCAGCCGACTGCCCATAACGCTCAGACATCCTGTTAGAGGCGGTCTAACGGACATATGCGGACACGGCAACGGAACGCTTGTTACGTGACAGAATTATGTCCCCTGCGATAACGGTGAACTTTTCTTAGCAAAATCAGAGCTGACTTACAGTCACTAGCAAGAGGTTTAATGACGCATTTTGTTCTACTCTGAGTTTGGGTGCCCGAAAAGTAACTACGCATGGTTGGAAGCGGTGGCTGCATGCCGGCAGTCTGAAATATTTCCTGTTCTAAACTAAAGAGGTTGATTCGTGGCCTGAACTGAGTCAGAAATTGGTGACCAACATGTCAGATGCACTTATTCAAATACCGCACTGGGAGACACATCACTGTCAACAGATGTCATTACAGCACACTTCTGATCCCGTAGGTAGGCCAAGCAAGGTCATCAAATGATCCATGTTAGCAAAGCTGAAAGCAGGTTGTTCCAGACTTTTCGTAGCGTGCAGCATCTTCGTGTGTGCGGGGCTGCCTTGTCCACTCGTGCCCCACTGCAGCGGTCTCATCGGACCTCACCTGGAGGCGGGCTGCCGGGCGGGCACCTGGCGTGCTCTGGCCGGCGCCGGCTCCGAGGCGGCGACAGCGGCGGCGGCGCGCACCGAGCCGCGGCTCGTACCGCGGCTCGGACCGCGGCTGGGGCTGCGGGCGGGACCGCGGCTGGAGCCGCGGGCGGGCGCGGCCGGGCGGCCACCGCTGGCCACCGGGCTGGGCTTCCTGGGCGCGCCGCTGGCCGCGTCCTGGCAGGTCTCCACGTTCCGGGGCCAATCGCAGGTCAGAAGACCGGGGCTGAAAGCGGAGCGTGAGACTGAGCGAGTCGGCCGGGCGGCGGCGACGACTCGGCTGAGTACGAGTCAGCTGAGTACGAGTCAGCTGGCGGGCCAGCGCTGAAATATGATCCGATCAGCGAACGACAGCTGGCCGCAAGTCAGCGGGCTGTTGTCTGCTGGGCGGCGCAATGCAGGCCAGGGACGGCTGAATGTCACCTATCGGTGCTAATAAATGCCGAACATGCCCGCTTGCATTGACTGTCTGTTTAGTGCACAGACATTAATCTGTGAAAGCATAAACATCCTGGCGCCGTATGCCGCTCCGTGCCGCGAGCCCTTGAATTCCTCAAGTTCCTTGCATAGTCATGAAACACTTAGTTCCCATGGCACGGCAGGTGGTACTTGCCTGTTCATTAATTCGACAGTCAACTCGCCGCGCCACTCACCTGTATACGAGTCCGTCGGAGCAGAACTCCTCGAGCGCCCCGCTGAACACACACACGTAGTATCTAGAGCAGTCTGTAGGATGGGGATAGTATCCGAATTCTTCGGGGCAGTCAAAGTCTTCAGACGCCTTGCGCCCTCCAGAAAACCCTCTAAACTCCTCCGCTGACGCGCCTGAAAAAATGGCAGCTCACTTAGCGGCATGCAATCAGAATTAGTACAGCAAGGCCACACCCTGTCGTTGCAGGAAGGGACTGGCGGCGATAGGGGGGAGAGGGGGGGGGGGGGCACAGCCAATGCCACGCCCGAGCGCCCTGCTCTTGGACGCGGCAGAGGTAGTGTGGTCACGACCCGACGCGATAAACGCCGCTCGTTTCAGGGTCGTCATCAGCAGGCTTTCAGGGCATGCGTGCCGTCCGTCGCACTTGGCGGTTCAGTGCGGGTGCAAGGCCGTTCACCAGCCAGCAGCCAGTGCTCAAACAAGCGCCGTTTAAGCTGACAACCGGTCGGCGCTGTTTTCATGCGCAATTTCTCATCACAGTGCGTTGTTCTTCCAAGCGGACGATTTACTCGCATTTTCATTCGTTGCCTAAGCATGTAGATTGGTTCGTCACAGCTGGGATATGTTAATAAACTCGGCAGTATTTTTGCGGGTTTGCTCGTGGACCAAATACTCCGGAGCCAGCTCACGGCCAACCGCTCGTTTGCCGTGGGAAACTCGTCCTGCAGGGCACCGTCGTTTTTCCTCCATTGTTTCTCCGGGAGTTGATGCGGGCGTTTTCCTGGCCCTGGCCAGCACAGAGTGGGGCGTTCCGCGGTGCCGACAGCGCCCTCACGCGCCGCTGCTGTCGGCGCCGTCTTCGGACCTTGAGACGCGCTGTACCCAGCCACCGTGCGCGCCTTTATCCCGTCCGGCTCATGGGAGCCGCCGTCCACGGGCCGTGCGTGTGCGCCAGCGCCGGCTCGTTTTTCCCCGCACCGTCCATTGAGCGTGCGCCATTGTTGCAGAGCGCGGCCGTCATCCCGCCGTCGGCCGGCCGGGACGTGCCGGCCGACCGCCGGCGGCCGCCGCCTCCGACCCGACCCTGACCTCTGACCTGACGCGACCGCCGCCGCGCCGGCTGGCGCACGGCCGCCGGGCCCGCGCCGCCGCGGGCCGGATCGGCTGGCGGCTCCGGCGGTCCGGCACCGCGACCTTGGACCTGACCCGCTCCGGTGTGACGCTGGCGGCCACCAGCGACCGGTCGGGCGCGGCGGGAACGGCTGACGAGCACAGCACCGATGGCAAACGGTCCGCATCCATGACCAGCGGCCGTGTAAGGATATCACTTAAGCTGTTCTGATTTTTAGGAATGCTGACCTGGCTAATTATATAACCACAGATGTGTGCGCCACTCTACGCCCATTTTTGGACATCACCTCGGGTTATTTCGTCCCGAGAGGGTTCGCTTAAGGCATTCAGAGGCAGGTTTTGACGCATGATCACACATTTGACGCGTCACTCGGCAATTAAACGACCAAGCGGCGTTCCAAGTATTGACAACACAATGCATTGCGCGAACAGCAGGTGTTTTCATGAATGACTCTTTCCACACGTTTTGCGAATATTCCGCACGGAATGCTATAGGCTCTTGGAAATGTGTCGGAAAATCGTGATGGAATGTTCACCGCCTTTGCTATTGACGCAATTTCCGTGTGAGCACCTGGAGCGAATTACAGAAATATTTGTAGGTGAAAGTATCTTGGTGTTCATTACCGAGTAGAGATTCAGATCTCATACACAGATTGCTAAAACTTTTTTTTTTTAAATCGACAGCAATGGGTACTCTTTGTGGAAACGGTTAAAGATATACTTGATGACAATCACGATGGCAGATGTTTCACCTCACAGTAAAAATAGTACTAACGGATGGTGCCATCTAATTTGCAGTGGCCACCAGTTAATGTTCCACTTCCCTCGCGCTGAGTCAGAGGATGTCGTAGCACCGGCACAACGACGGACGCCTGCGACGACAGACGACCACGCAGCGGGCTGTCCGGCCAGAGTGCCCTGTCATGATTGGCCTAGTGGCATCAGCACCATTTGGTGGCTGCCGAGCCCGAACGCCGGCTGCGTGTTCGGCCAGCGGCGTGTCCGGCGCAGTCGGCAGTCCGCGCGCGGCTCTGACTTCGCCAGACAGCTCGGCCGCGCGGTCGCCCGCGCGCCACCGTCGCCAGGATGCGCCGTTCGCCGCTTCAGTGGCGTTGTGTGGTCGGCTCATGGGCAGACTCGCGGGGCAGCGTACCTCCCTCCTCTACGGCCGTCGGGGGCACCACGCCACGCCGCTGACCACGTGACTCGGGCTGCAAGCGACAGGAGTGTCCAGCCTCCCGACGGGGACTGCGATGCCGCAGAGTGGCTAACGTGGTGACCACGATGCCGCAGAGCACCTAGCGCGGTGACTACGATGCCGCAGGGCGGCTAGCGCGGTGACCGCTGCCTGCAGTCGGCGCCTACAGAGGACGGCCGGCGCGCGGGCCGCCGCCGCCCGCTGCGGCCGCGTTACGTCACGACACGCAGGTCGCGGTCTGACCGGGCCGGTGGCCGGCGGGGATGATCGGCCGCCACCTCAGCGAGGGGGCGACAGGTCCCCGCGGCGCCTGCGAGGCCGACCCGACAGAGTCATTACGCCGCGATCGGCAGGATTTTTACGGATTATCTGTGGCGGTAGGTGAGTCAGCGCCGATGATTGGCTGATAAACCGCGTGTGTATTAGGTATTGCTACACGTGCTCGGGGCTGACATTACCATAGGCAGCCTTGTGTCAGCTTAATCAAGCATGGAGATTACACGGTCGCAGGATAAAGGCCGGCCGGCGCGAGTGATCGAGGCGTTCGTGGATCTGTAACCCATTTAGCGGCCCGTATCAATCTTAACGAGTACATGGCACCGCCGTGGGTATCAATCCGACGTCAGATCGCCGTCGGCCGGACCCAAG